ATATTTTTTGAAATGATGGAGAATTTTGAACTTATTGATATATGAGACATATAACCGCAAATTCCAGAGAATATACATATTTTTCTGAAAGACACAGTTCTTTTTCAAGAATAGATATGTTATGGATCTCAAAGAAGCTATCTACATATATTAGCAAAACGGAGATATTACCAAAAATATCTTCTCAGATCATCATCCAGTGACTATGATATGCTAAAAAAATCAAAAGCATATAGATGGAGATTAAATGAAACTATATTACAGAAAGAATCAATCATTGAGGACTGTAAAAAAGAATTGAAGGAATTCTTCAAAAACAATCTAAATAAAGAAACAGAAATAAGAACAGTTAGGATGCAAGTAAAGCATTTATGAGAGGTCAATTTATATTACAGAATTCCAAATTGAAAAAACAGGGGAAAAGATGCGAAAGAATTTAGCGGAGATACAGACCAAAAAAGATTAATTAAAATGCTTACCAGGAAGAAAAGGCATTTTGTAACAAATTAAGCTTCTACAAAGCCAGTTTTCTATGCTAATGGCTAAAAAAATGGAAATAAACATGAATTCTGCAAAACAAAAGAATTTTTAGTCAGCAAATAAACCAGGGGAATGGTTGGCATATGTGTTGGGGAAAGAAAGTGGAAAAAAATGATTTTGAAACTGCAAAAAGGGAATGCCATGGTAACACATAAGTATGCAAAGAATTTTTTAAAATTATACAAAATTATATAAAAGTAGACAGATTTCAGATGAGAAGGTAGATTAATTCTTAAAGAAATCCTAGCTTCCAAAAATAACAGAGAAACAAAATAAAAAAGATGAATGGACCTATAACAATATGGGAAGTCTGTGAAGAATAATAATAATAAAAAAACCTAAAATGGGGAAAGCACCAGGATCAGATGGGTTACTGGCATCCTACTATAAATGTTTTGAAGATGAATTGGCTGGTTTGCTTCTGGGTCTAATTCAAGGTGTTGGTTATGACCTTTAAAGGCCTTCATAGCATGGGCCTAGGTTACTTGAGGAACTGTCTTCTCCACATTACATCGACCTATCCCACCTGGTCTGGCAGGAAGGGTATGTTATGGACCCCATCGCCTAGAGAGCTCTGGAGGAAAGCCTTTTCTGCTGTGGCTCCCGCCCTCTGGAACATCTTGCCTCCTGAGGTGAGATTGGCCCCCACTCTCCTGGCCTTCTGAAAGGTCCTCAAGACCTGGCTCTGACAACTTGCCTGGGGACAAGGCAAGGGGTTCGCAGCACTGGAGGTGGTTAGTAGCTTGAGGATGCTCTCTCTGCCTTTTTAGTTTGCACTGTAGTTTTAACTTTTAGTTTTAATGTTAACCTTTTGTAGTTTTTAACTTGTATACTGTTTTCTAAGATTTTATAGTTTTTTACTTGTAATGTTGCCTAGAGTGAGAGGGGCGGCATATATAAATTTGAAAAGTAAATAAATCAATAAACTACAACCCTTACAAAGGGTGATGAACTCTATTCTAGAAAAAGGATTGATACCAGAAAGTTGGAAACAGCAAATATTGCTTTAATACATTAGGAAGGACAGGATCCTACATTACCAAAAAATTACAGACCAATTTCTTTGTTGAATAAGGACTATAAAATATTTACTACCATCTTGGCAAAAAGACTGAAATGTGTCTCAAAGATCAATGTGGCTTTTTGCCTAAAAGACAATTGAGAGATAACATAAGGAACATTATAAATATTACAGAATATTTAGAATAACATAATGAAAAACAAGCTGAATTGATATTGCTTAATGTGGAGAAAGCCTTTGATAATCTGAACTGGATTTTTTTGCTTAAAAATCTGGAAATATATAGATTTTGGAATTAAATTACTAAATGGTAAAATTGATATATACATCACAAACAGCACAAATTATACCAAATGGTAAACTCACTGAAAAAGGCATGAGGCAAGGTTCCCCACTTTCACCTTTATTGTTCATTCTGGCTTTGGAGGTACTTAATAGAGATATAAAACAAGATGAAAGAATAATTGGGGTGAAGTTGAAAAAAGAAGTATATAAATTAAGAGCATTTGCAGAAGATCGGGTTTTAATAGTTCAAAATCCTCTCCAAGGAATTGATATATTAATTAAGAAACTTAATGACTTTGGAGAGTTAGCTGGATTTAAAATTAATAAAGAGAAAACTAAACTATTAACAAAAATTTTGAGTACAGAAGATCAAAAATCACGAGAACTAGTTTTCAGTTTGAAACAAAGGTTAAATATTTGGGTATTATTATGTCAAATATAAATTGGATGTTATTTCAGGATTATGTAAAGGTATGGAATGAAGTTAAGAAAGATTTCTTAAGATGGGAAAAACTGCAATTGTCATTGTTTGGTAGAATTTCTGTCATAAAAATTAATGTATTGCCTAGAATGATGTTTTTACTTCAAACAATACCAGCTTTGAAAAATGATGTACCATTTAAACAACGGCAAAAAGATATATCTAAATTTGTGTGGCAAGGGAAGAAACCAAGGGTTAAATATAAAATACTGCAGAATGCAAAAGACAGAGGAGGACTAGGTCTACCTGACTTTAAATTGTATTTCGTAGCCTGCTGTTTAGTTTGAATGAAAGGGTGGGTGTTACTAAGAAACAGAAGAATGCTAGAATTGGAGGAACATAACTTGAGGTTTGGTTGGCATGCATTTTTATGGCACAATAAAGTTAAAGTTAACATGGATTTTAAAATTCATTATGTGAGAAGTGCCACACTAAGAATATGGAACAAATACAAACCCAGGCCGTGTCTGAAAATACCTTTACTGTATTAGTATTAGCATAGGAAGCATTTTACAGAAGAGAAACAGCAGACAGAGAGAAATGGCTAACATATCAGGACTTATTAATAAGGAAGATGGAGAACTTAAAATTAAGTCAAGGGAACAACTGACTACAGAGGGGCATAGTTTTCAATGGTTCTCATATGCACAATTAAAATAAAGATTTAATATAGACAAGAGGGTAATTGGAATTGAAAAACTTAAAACAGAAGTTGAAAATGAGTTATGTACAAATGATGTTATTTGTACATGTAACTGAAAAACTGTATAAACTTCTGTTAAGATTTGAAACTGAAGAGGAACAAGTTAAAGAGCATATGATAAAATGAGCTACCAAATAAATTGGTAAATTTATTTATTTTATTGCCAAATAAAATTTTGGCTACAATATACAGATGAATACATGGGAGAGAATGTGGATAAATGGGATAAAATTTACATTTTGCTACAATAGTTATAATAGTTATAATAGTTGGTACATGATGTGAAAGAAATGATCAAAATGCATAAAGGTATGTCAAGTCAATACTGAAAATGTAAAAACCATGAAGGAACATTTTACAATACATGGTGGACTTGTGAAAATGCTATGAAATTTTGGATACAAATGCATACAACAATACAAAGAATTTTAAAGATCAGTTTGCAAAAAAAAAAATCCCAGAAGTTTTTTTTCATTGAGATTTATGGATATTGAATTAGAGAAGACTCATGGAAGATTAAGTTTGTATATGGTAACAGCAGCAAGATTATTATATGCACAAAGATGGAAGAATGTTGAAATTCCCACAACGGAGGAATGGATCATAAAAACTAGCAGAAATGGCAAAACTGACTTGTTTTGTCAGGGAGAAAACAAGAAGTGCTTTTTAAAAAGACTGGAAACCTTTTATTGACTATTTGCTAAATGAAGAAAAAAACCAAAATGATGATTTATGGATTTAATGATTGAAACAGATGAGATTATTTATAAGGGATTGAAGAGATTTCTGGAAGAGTTCAGAGGGAGGAGAGACATTAGGTTTGTTAATGTCTGTTGAAGAGAAAGTTGGAAGTCATATTTCATAACTTTAGTTTTCTTACTTCTTTATTTTTCTTGCACTTTTTTTTTCTTTTTCTTTAGATTTGCTTTTTATTTTATGTAAAATCTTCAATAAATATAAACTAAGTCATCTCTCTCTCTCTTTGATCAGCTTTTTTTTTTTTTTTTTTAAGCAACTGTGCTACTCAGATTGCTTTCTCCTACAAAATTAGTCTCAGTTTTAATGACTGATTTCTTCAGGCCTATTTTATAAATGCCTAGCAATGTGAACTGAATTTTACAATATGTCACTGCCAGGAAAAATAAACAAAGCATGTTTTGATGTATAGACAAAAACTTAGAACAGAGAGACACACAGAGCATTTATATGGGGAAAAATGACAAAAGGCTTACTCCTGAAACATCTAAAACCACAAAATCAAGAAACAAAAAATCAGAGGAACAGAAAAAAGGAATTAAGAAAAGCAATTTCATTAAGGAGAACAAAAACAGCCCTGACAGCTCCTGAGTGCTACCACTGAGGTGTAACAGCAAAAATCTGAGGAAATCTGGCCCAAGCTGTACTCTAATGTGCACACTAGCCGAGACGGTGGAATTCCTGCCAAAAAAGTTAGCTCTATAAAACAGGAACAGACAAACTTATCATGGCCAAGGATTATATTTAATGGGGGTAGAGAGCACACCAAGGGCTGCAGTAGATGGGTTAACGATGCAGGGTAGAAAGGGTGATGATGGTGATAGAATGGAAAGGATGATGAGCACCTGCTGGCAACTCTGTTTTTTCCCAGGGTCCCATGATTCCCTCTACAGCTGGAATAGATTCATGAGAAAAAAGGACTGATTTGATTTCAAGAATTTCTGACTGGTGCTATGAGCATACCTGCATGTACTGTACCCCAAAGCACTTTGTTCTAAATTAATATGATGTGCTGCATAGCCCTAATGAAAAATGTAATGCTACTGAAAACCTTATAAAAGAAAACTTCTGGATATGCATACAGGAAATTATCTCAGGTAGTCTCTGTTCTTGTTCTTCACACACATATGTCAGCAATAGTAGCATCCATAATGATTTTCAACATAGAACTTTTTAACTGCAAGAACTTAAGATACCCTACCATGTATCGCGACAGGAATTCTGCTTCCCAAACAAAACTTTCAAGTTTTCCCATCGGTAATTTGCTGATTTCAGATCAGAAATGCTCCATTTAAGAATGTTAAGCAACTGCAAGCTCATTTGTGGAAAGGCCTTAATACATACCTTTCCTGCTAATTTTCCTGGTAGTACCAATAGATGGCTTTTTTTCCATGACAGAATCCAATGCGGCCGTGCTAACAGGAGCTACTTCCAATTTGTTCTCGATGTGTTGCAACTAGATAGATTAAAAGGAAAGGAAAGATATCAACATTTTAAATCTATTACACCTCCACTTAAAAAACAAAAATAGAAGAAAAGAATGGCTTCCAAAAATTGGATGAAACGTTTCCTAACCTAAGTAAAATGAAGTCAGATTTTAATTCCAGCTTTGCGCAATCAAGAATAGTTTCACACAATACAGTGGAACCTCGGTTTACGAACTTAATTCGTTCCGTGACTCTGGTCGCTACCCGAATTGGTCGCAACCCGAAGCAAATTTTCCCATAAGGTTCAATGTAATTACCGTTAATCCATTCTGGCGTGGAGGACAGAGAGGCGGCTATCGCTTGGAGGAAGAGTCCCCCTCCCTATGACCATGTGTCAGGGGCGGAAAATGGCCGCGGACCACGTGTTAGGGGCGGAAAAATGGCCGCGGACGTGTCAGGGGCGGAAAAATGACCGTGGACCACGTGTTAGGGGCAGAAAAATGGCCGCGGATCACGTGTCGGGGGGAAAAATGGCCGCGGACCACGTGTCAGGGGCAGAAAAATGGCCGCGGATCACGTGTCGGGGCGGAAAAATGGCCATGAACCATGTCACGGGAGGGAAAATGGCCGCATATCCTGTTCGTACGCCGAGGCGGAGTTCGCAAACCGAAGCAAAATTTTGCGGCTGGAGCTGGTCGTAACCCGAAA